AATGATATAGAAGGAATCTTTTGGCCATTCAGGCAAAAAGTTCAATTCATCCACAAAGTGGAAAAAAATTAGTCTGGCTTCACTCTTCACCATAGCAATATGTAGTGCTAGGTGATAGTGGAGCAATGCTTACAAAATCCGCAAGGAAAAAGGGGTGATGAAAAACTGTCTATCAAAATCCATTCCAGTATGAAGTATAACAGCAATATTTTTGAATGTGTACGAAATTAAGAATTACGTTTCCCCAAAAACTCTTCTCAAAGAAAGATGAATTTCAGCCAACCAAGACATGAACAGAAAAACTATCACTAAAGAATAATGGCAGTCACTGAATCCATTTAACTTTTTAAGATTAAGAGTAAACCAGAGGGAATAATCGGTTTCACAGCAAAATGTGAAGAACAGTTAACATTCAACAAATCAACCAACTCCTGGTAATACCTGAAAAAATTCCTAGGCTTAATTTGAGAAATGGTATTTGATATAAATCAGCATGTGAGTTTCTTATTTAATCTTAACTCACAAGTTAGCGCAACCCAGTGAAATTCCTAGGACAAGCAAATGAAGTTTTTGTCACTTCATTCACCCCTCTCCTCAAATCTGCTTCTTCTTTTCCAATTTGGATGCGTCTTATTTCTTTTTCTTACCTTAATGGTGCTGGCTAAAATTTCTGGTACAATGGTGAATAGCAGCAGTGAAAATGAGTACCTGTGTCTTAAGGGCGGGGTTTCAATCTTTCACCACTGAATATGGTGTTGGCTGTGGGCTTTTCATGAATGTCCTTTTTTATCATATTGAGGAAGCTCCCTTCTATTCCTAGTTTGCTAAATATTCATGTATCATAAAAGGGTACTGAATTTTGTAAATGCTTTTTCTGCATTGATTGAGATTAACATTTTACCCCCCTTCATTCTAATGTGGTGCATTACAGTCACTATTTTTTTGTTATGTTGAAACACCCCTGCATTCCTGGGATAAATTCCACTTACTTAGTTAAAGTTTATAATATTTTTAATATGCTGCTGGATTTGATTTGCTAGCATTTTGCTGAGAATTTCTGCATCTATATTCATAAAAGACACTGGCTGTAGTTTTCTCCTCTTGTGGTACTTCTGTCTAGCTTTGGTATCAGAGTGATGCTGGCTTTGTAGAATGAGTTAGGAAGAGTTCATTCCTCTTCAATTTTTTTGAATTTTGAGAAGGATGTGTTAATTCTTTAAATGTTTGGTAGAATGCACCAGGAAAGCCACCCCCATCCCTGTACTTTTCTTTGCTTGAGAGGCTTTTGATTACTGATTCCATCTCTTTATTTGTTATAATATAAGTCTGTTCAAATTTTCCATTTCTCCTTGAGCCAGCAATCTGTATGTTTCTAAGAATTTGTCCATCTCATCCAGGTTAATTTATTGAAAATATATTATAATTGTTCACAGTATTATCCTATAATCCTTTTCATTTCTTTAAGGTCAGCAGAAACGTCTTTACTTTTATTTCTGATTTTAGTTATTTGTGCCTTCTTTTTTTTCATTCTTGGTCAGTATAGCAAAAACTTTCTCAATTTCGTTGATCTTTTAAAAAAAATAACTTTTGGTTTCGTTGATTCTGTATTGTTTCTCTATTCTCTATTTCTTTTATCTCTGTTTTAATCTTTATTATTTCCTCCCTTCTGCAGCTTTGGGTTAAGTTTGTTCTTTTTCTAATTTCACGAGGCATAAAGTTAGGTTACTGATTTCAGATCTTTTTTCTTTTTTAATGTAGGCATTCAGTCATAAGTCTCCCTATGAGCACTGCTTTTGCATCATCCCATAAGTTTTGGTAAATTGTATTTTTGTTTTCATTCCTCTCAGAGTATTTGCTAATCTCCCTTGTGATTTTTTTCTTTGATCCATTGGTTGTTTAAGAGCTCTGTTCAAATTGGAAGCCTTCTCTGACACTGCTGTATGAAACAGCTAGAACTCCCAACCTCCCAGGTACCCTGAATTCCCCTGCCCTACTCTTCCTGAAATATTTTTGCATTCTACTAGTATATCCCCATCTGAAATTCTATGCATTCCTTGTTAATTTACTGTCTGTCTCCCTTCACTAAAATCTAAGCTAAAAACGGGAAGCATTCTGTTTTGCACACTGCATATCCTTGACACTAAATAAATATTTGATGAACAAACCATTTTAGTCTAATTGTGGAAGCCCATTTTTCATCATGAATACTGTGACATCTTATTCCAAGTGAGAAAGATGCATGTGGGTTATTCTTCTTGAACTAGGACATACTTGAAGAAAGGCAAAAACCATTATACTAATCCCAAATCACAGTCCTTCTATAAAATAATATAAAAACCCACATTAATATCCTTGAGATAAAGATGAAGAATGAATTTTCATTACCCATCCTGTATTCCACGGTCATGCTTCTTCAGCCTCCTTTACAGTTAATGGGTACAGTATGGCTTTACTCTATTTGCATTACCTCCTGGGTGAATTCATTTTCTGTGTGTGGATGCTGTAACAAATTGCCTTGAATTTGGTGGCTTCAAACTACAGAAATCTATTTTCTCACAGTTGTGGAAGCCAGAAGTCTGAAATCAAGGTGTCTGTAAGGCGATGCTCACTCTCGAGGCTCTAAGAGAGAATTCATTCCTCATCTCTTTCAGCTTCTGGTGGCTGGCATTCCCTGGCTTACAGCCATATCACTCTAATCTCTACCTCCAGCTTCACAATGACTTCTCCTTTTCTATTTGTCACATTTCCCTCTGTCTCTCTCTCATAACAACACCTGCATTTAGGCCTATCCATATAATCCAAGATTATCCCATTTTAAGACCTTTAACTTAGCCATATCTTCAAAGATCTCTTTTCTAAGTAAGGTTCATATTCACAGGTTCTAAGATTTGGTGTGGGTATCTTTCAGAGGTCATTTTTCAGCCTATTACATTTACCTTAATCAGGTGATCAAATTTATCATCATGAATAACAGGACAGACCAACATCATGTATCTCCTGATAGCATGCCCTGAGAAAGTACACTACATCACCTGTGCAGTAGTACTCCTGCCAAAAATGCAAAACCTGAACCAAATTATGAGAAAATAATAAGACAAACCCAAACTGAGATACGTTCTTCCAAAATGTTAATGTCATGAAATATGAAACTTTCCAGATAGAAAAAGATTCAAGAGGCACAACAACAAAATGCAATGTGTGATCTTGGGCTGGTTCCTGGATTGTGGGGAAAAGTTTTTTTGCTATTAAAAAGCCATTTGTTAGTTAAACTGGAATAATTTGAATGTGGACTATATATTAGATAACAGCATTGTAGCAACATGAATTCCTGAATTTGATCATTGTATTATGGTTAGAAAATTAATGAGACAGTGAGGCAAAGCAAATATGGCAAAATAATAACAACTTACAAATCTAGGTAAAGGGTATATGTCTGAACTATTCTTGAAAATTCATTGTTAGTTTCAACTTTTTCAAAACAAAAACTTGAAAAAATGGTTTTCTTCAAGTGAAGCAAACCTGTATTAACCACAAATAACTGTCTCTCCACCAAAAATTATACTTTGTCTAAAAATTTAAACTTAAAAAAAAAACCCAACTATAGTATAAAGCTCCCTGGCCCTCTGGCCATTCCCTCTAAAAGAGCAGGACATTTTTCTGTCTGTCCACAGTCAAGGAAGATTGAGCACAAACAAAAAAATCCACACTAAAATATATATACACTCATATACAAGCACAAAAATCATTTCTTGTCAAAAAGGAAAATAAAACAATTCAAAAGAGGGAAGTTAAATATTCATCCTCTTGAGTACCCCACAGAGTACCCCGGCTTACAGCCATATCACTCTAATCTCTAATCTCTTGGTGTGATCAAACCAGAATGCCTGGAAATGACATCCTTATATTGTCTTTCCGAAACCAGGTTGAGACTTACGAAACAGATAGCATATAAGGGAAACCACATTTTAACCACAAAGAGTCACTAAGGAATGTTACACATAAGGGAAACTATTAGTGTTTTAATTTTTTAAACATAAAGAACAGACTGGGCATCCTAAAGCAGCAACACACGCATTAGGGGGTGAGGGCAGCAGCTTTTCTCATAGTAAGCATAATCCATGAAACTGTAGTTTTGGGTTGGCAAATAATGATCACTAAGAAGTTTCTCTCCCTTATGTCCCTTACTGGGAAACTGAATAATGTCTACGTAAGAATTATATAGTGAGACTAACACCTCCCATAAGAATCTAAACAAAAGACAACAAACCTGAAACTCAAGGGAAACAAAATGTTGAAAAAGTATGTTTGGCAAGAAAACAAATAGTTTCCCCAAACATTACTGAAAACTTACCTTCTGGTACAGGAAAAACATCAGCTACTGAGCCTAAAATGGTTAAAGCTGAAAATCTAGTTGGGTAGGAAGAGCCAGGAAATAATGCTTCAAAAAGACTGCTGCAAATGGATGACATGAAATTCTAAAAAAAAAAAAATTTACAGTAAGTATAATTGAGCTAACTCACAACAGGTTTTCGTCAAAGTATCACTCTAAAGAGTGGACTTAGTTTTTCTAATTAAGAGAGAAAAGATTTTTAAAAAAAATACTACTTGTTCACTTTGCTTGACAATTCAGATTGGCACCTTTGACCATGAGTTCATAACTTTAATGAATCGTATCTCTGTAGAGTCAACAAGAAGTATGGAAGAAAACGAAAACATTAATTTTAAAAGCTATGTGAACCCCCATGTTCACTGCAGTATTACTTACAATAGCCAAGATACAGAAACAATCTAAGTGTCCATGGATGGATAAACAGGTAAATAAATAGGTCAGACAGAGTAGGACAAATACTATATGATCTCACTTCTATGCAGAATGAAAAAAAAAATTTTAAAAAAACAAAAACAAGCTCATAAATACAGAGACCAGACTGGTGGTTACTGAGGGGGTGGGGAAGCTGGTGGTTGGCAAAACGGGTGAATAGAGTCAAGAAGTAGAAGTTTCCATTTATAAAATAAAGAGGTCATGGGATATAATGCACAGTATAGTGACTATAGTTAATAACACTGTATTGTATATTGAAAAGCTGTGAAGAAAAAACTTTTTGTAACTTTAGTGACAGATATTGACTAGAATGTATGGTAATCAGGTCCCAATACATACAAATATCAAATCACTGTGCTGTACACTTGAAACTAATATAATATGTCAATTACACCAAATTTTTTAATTAAAAAAAGAAAAACCAAGGAATACAATTCTAGCTATAGTCCAAATCAGAAAAAACTTTTTTTTTTTTGCAAAAACATGATCCTTCTGCCCTGACTTGTGTTAAAGCTGTATGAATATTGATTTCCTTCACCAGAAGCATTCAGGCAATTACCTTTTTGTTAAAGTACTACATTCATCTGGCCCAGATAAACTGTAAAATATTGAGGTTAGCCCATTAATGTTATTCTGTATGAGACTTCAAGTTCAGCCCTGGTTCCACAACTCAGGTTACCACAACAGAAGTGTCAAAGCACCAGAAGGAGTATGTAAAACCCAGCTTGAAGGGAAAAAACACAGAAACACTACTCACCAAGAGACTTCCATTTATTCCCCTTTAATGTTTATTCATAATTGTCTTAGGTTAAATCTGTGTGTCTAGAAATATACCACCTACCTTATATTGCTCTAAAGAAACAGAAGGGTGCTGTCTGGTTAACTCATTCTCTGGTTCATGTTTGGATTTACTTTGCTCCAGTTTATAAAGTACCTGTGAACTTTCCTGTATCCTACAAAACAACTTTGAGAAAAAGAAAAATGAAGCATATGTGAGCCACATTAACTTTAAACATCAGCTTGAAAGGCAAAGGAAGAACTTTCTAAATTCTTTAGACTAAAACTTCAGGCAAGGGGAATACTGGTTTTTAAACTCTTAATATTTACACAGTAATGCTTCTTTTTGACAGAGAATTAACATTTACATTTTTGAAATCAAAAAACCAAAATATTACTGCAAACCAGAAGACACAGTCATTAAACCACCGTTCTCCCATTTCCCCTGGGTCAGCATGAACCTAAAGGTGATACACTCACTTCTATACTCTACCAACTCTTCACCCCAGAAACATGTGGTGGGGTTAATTAAGTTGAATTATTTAATAATGACTGTTTCTTGGGGCATTTATAAAAATATAAGGGCATTCTTCCTCCTCTTACCAAAGTTTTCTTAAGTTACCTTACACCCTGAAAACTCCAGCACTAGGGTTTTTTTCTTTCAAAAAAAAAGAGCTTAAGGTTGATTTATTACACCAAAATGAAAGGAATTTTCACTTTAGATTTTAATCCCAAATGTACACTTTATGGAATCATAGAACAAACAGTTCACAGAAGGGCCACGAAGAGCCGTGGGCGTCCAATCCCATGACCATTACTCCCCACACTCTGCCAAAACCTGGCCTCGTTTTAAAAAATGATTTCCAGAGCAAAGTTCACCACTTTCCTACACTTTATGATGAGAAATTCTACCTTTTTAAGAAGAGAACAAATCTGTTGCCGCACTCCTGGAGACTGACTGTTAAGGTTGTATGTGATAAAGAACTGAATCCACTGCATTTCTTCTGTGGAAACAATTTCTGTGCTTCGATTACTTTCACAAAGCAAGCCCAATGTATCGATCCGTACCTAAAATACAGCAAGCAATAGAATGGTGCCTTTTCAATGAAATAAGCAAAACCTAAACCACTTGACATGTTTAATTACTTACACAGGCTACCAAAGGGGGAAAAAACCCAGTAAACCTCAGTTTACCCATATGTACCTCAGAAAGCTTCCCTAATCCCAAAGGTCCTTTGGTTATTTCCAACAAAATTATTCTACATAAATGTATAAATTGGGTATTTACAGAAGTCAAAAATCCTAAGATTCTTATTCCACAGTATGCTCAACTTCACTCTTTTCTTTTTCCTCAGTGACCACTTTGCACCCGGACACCATCATCTCACCCTCCAATTACCATCATGCACATCTAACTGGCCTCTTGGTTTCTTTTTGCTCCCATCTGGCAACTCATCTGTTTCCATTCATGCCACTTCCTGGCTGAAGCAGAGTGTCTCTGGTCTCCACTTAACTGGATAAAATCTGTAGTCTTTAGTCAAGCATTGGAAGTGTCCACAAAATGGACAAAATACTCCACTCCTACCAAACAAGGTCCTCAATCTCCCTTCAGCCCTTGTTTATTTGCATCCTTCCATGCTAAGCAGGTGCCAGAGCTTCCTCTCCTTTGATCACATTTATCACTTTCCTAATCAACCACCACCTACACTCAGATCAATCTCTTCTTCTGAGCCTCCCAAGTTCTTACACATAAAGGTACAGTCGTATCTTTATTGTCTTTTCAGAGTTTCCAGTTGTTTTATGGAGGTTTTCTTATTCCCTCATCTAAACTTTAAGTAGCCTGAGTGTCATGTCTACACTTTTCACTTTCTATGCATTCTTACGGAGCCCCTAAAACAGTGCTGGGCATAACATAGGGGCCTCCATATCACACTGCTAAATGAACAAATGAATCAGGGATCTACTGCATGTATGCATTCCCCATTATTTTGTTTACTTACTTGGCAGTGCTGATGAATTAAGCCTTGCTTTATTCTTTCACTGGACACAAGGTCCCTCCAGGCATCAGTTGCAGACTGAAGATGCCCATGAGCTCTAGCTGTTC